GGGGTGAGGAGTTAGGAGAGAGAAGGGAGGTAGGGGGAGAGGAGGGTAGGGAGAGGGGAGAGGAGGGTAGGGAGAGGGAGAGGAGGGGAAGGGAGAGGGGAGGGGGAAGGGGGAAGGAAGGGAGGAGGAAGGGGAGGGAGGAGGGGGAAGGGAAGGGAGGGGGAAGGGAAGGGGAGGGAGGGAGAGAAGGGAAGGGAGAGGTAGGGGAGAGGAGAGGGAGGGGGAAGGGAGGTAGGGAGGAGGAGGGAAGGGAGGGGGGAGGGGAGAGGAGGGGGGAAGGGAGGGAGGGAGAGGGGGAGGGAGGAGGGGGAGAAAGGAGGGGGGCAATCATTGGTGAGGGAAGATATAAGGGCGGTGTGACACAAAAGAGATTTAGAACGGATTTAAAAGGAGTTAAATCCTCTTCAGTTAGATTTAAATCTATCAATAGTTAATCCCCGAATGACATCTGGGCGGAGGAGGGAGGAGGAGGAGGTGTGTGTGGGGGAGGGGGGTTAGGTTAGGTTAAGTTAGGTTTGGTTGGGTTTAAGGCTGGATTAGCGGCAGTTTGGGTTAGATTAGGTTAGTTTCCGGGATCAGGGGGTTAGTGACCACCCACGCTTGTACCAGCACCTACCCCCCCCCCTTTAGTGAGGTATCTAGGAGAACGTCTATCTGTCTGTGTCCGGACATACAGGATTTAACTCTTTATTTACTCACTGTTTCGTCATAATCAGTCAAAAAACAAACAAACAAACAAGCATTCACAACCTCACACATAAAAAACTACACACAAAACCTACACACACAAAACCTACACACACACACACACACACACATAGTTTAGTTCTCTCTTCTTTTTTTTCTCTCTCTCTGCTGTGATCTTGGCGGTGTTGTGGGAGTGATCTTAATGTAGTGAGGGAAACAGATTGACGAGGCATCACAGTGATCTTTATAGTACACCTGTATGTAGAAATCAATTAAGTACTCACATGTGATTAATTAGGTACTCAGGTGTGATTAATTAAGTACTCAGGTGTGATTAATTAAGTACTCAGGTGTGTTTTCTTAAGTACTCAGGTGTGATTAATTAAGTACATTTTAAGTGCGTCTGTGGTACCGGAAGGGGGTGGGTGAGAAGGGAGGGGGGTAGAGGAGGGAGGGGGGTAGAGGAGGGAAGGGTGGGGGAAGGGAAGATGAGGGTGGGTAGAGGAGAAAGGGGAAGACAAGTGAGGGGTGAGAAAAAGGGGGACAGGTGAGGGGAAGGGGAAGACAGGTGAGGGGAAGGGGAAGGAGGAGACAGGTGAGGGGAAGGAAGGAGGACAGGTGAGGGGAAGGAGAAGACAGGTGAGGGGGAAGGGGAAGGAGGGAGGGGGGGGGAGGACAGGTGGGGGAAGGGAGGACAGGTGAGGGGGAGGGGGAGGACAGGTGAGGGGGGGAGGGGGTAGGTGGAGGGGGGGTGTCACTTATCTCTGGAGGCGCTGTAGTAGTGATAAGTGAGTGTGGAGGGAGGCAGAAACTTCACCCGATGGCGCCTTCTGTATGATGGCGCCTCCTGTATGATGGTGCCTTCTGTATGATGGCGCCTCCTGTATGATGGTGCCTCCTGTATGATGGCGCCTCCTGTATGATGGCGCCTCCTGTATGATGGCGCCTCCTGTATGATGGCGCCTCCTGTATGATGGCGCCACCTGTATGATGGCGCCTCCTGTATGATGGCGCCTCCTGTATGATGGCGCCTCCTGTATGATGGCGCCTCCTGTATGATGGCGCCACCTGTATGATGGCGCCTCCTGTATGATGGCGCCACCTGTATGATGGCGCCACCTGTATGATGGCGCCTCCTGTATGATGGCGCCTCCTGTATGATGGCGCCACCTGTATGATGGCGCCACCTGTATGATGGCGCCACCTGTATGATGGCGCCTCCTGTATGATGGCGCCACCTGTATGATGGCGCCACCTGTATGATGGCGCCTCCTGTATGATGGGTGAGGGCGAGGAGGAGGAGAAGGAAGTAGGAGGAAAATGAGAAGGAAGAAGCAGAAGGGTAAAGGAAGTGGCGGAAATAGGAGGAGAAGGAGGAGGTAGGAGGAAGATAAGGAGGTGGAGGCAGGGGTCAGCTCCCAAGGTGGCATAATTCAGGTGATAGAAGCAGTAACTATCACCTCAGGTCTATTACTCATTACTCACTCACTCAAACAAACAAAAATATAAATTCATCAAACTTCATAAAGTAACACAAGTGAAAGTACATAAAGTAATAAGTTTCGTTTTCTCTCTATCAAAGTATTCGCAATAACAGGGGTGATTACAGGGCTATACTACAAGGTGTTCGTAAGATCGAATTTCCCCTATGGACTCTTAGGTCAACTCGCCTCTGTGGTTCAGCCGTTCGAGGGGACGGATGTTCCTGGGATAATAATGATGATAATAATAATAATAATAATAATAATAATAATAATAATAATAATAATAATAATAATAATAATAATAATAACAATAATAATAATAATAACAATAATAATAATAATAATAATAATAATAATAATAATAATAAACACTTGATAAAATTCGCCAATAAACTCACCTATACAACAGCTTCCATTTCACCTCCCGGCGGCACCCGATCGGCAGCTCTCTCCCTGGGCACTAGAACAAAATAATAATAATAATAATAATAATAATAATAATAATACAATAACATTAATGACTATAATACTGATAAGGGTGACAATAATCGCACCATTACGACTTAGGGCGGCAGATGATCGGTAGTTCTCGCCCGTGTCACCAAAACATCAACACAGGCCACCAGACGCGCGCGGCCGGGAGCTGACGGGGAGTCGGGGCCGTATGCAAAGTAATCAGACGTATGCCTTAAGCCCTCACTGGCGGCTGCGGTACCTTTCATTACTTTGTCGGTATGTGTTTGAGCTGATAAGTGTTGACGCCTAGACGTCTCGAGCCCACACAGAGATAGATAGCGGATATCAGAACGCCAGGAGGAGACCGCATCGCCGGGTTATCGAGGAAGGTGAAGAGAAGTTGGCGCCATCTCGGACATGCAATGTGATAAAGCCTTATGGCTGTCCCTCGGCTAGTCGGGGGTGTGGTGACAGGTATACGTTGACAGTTAGGTATGGTGACAGGTATTTGTCGACAGTCGGGTGTAGTGACAGGAAGAAGCTGACGGTCAGGTGTGTGATGATGGGTATATGCTGACAGGTGTGTGATGATGTCTATGTTTACCTTATAGAAGATGTACTATCTATCGGGAATACACCATTTCTAGGATCTGTCGGGAACTTCTGAGACGTAACCTCCGTCGGATACAAATCATCGGGTAACAAAGAATAATTCACAACTACGTTACAAACTCGAGTCATAAACTGTCGGGTTAAGATTACACACACACACACACACACACGCACACACACACACACACACCTATAGCGCTATACATATATATTTTACAAGACAAAAACACTAATATTCTTTATTAGTGTCTCACCTGAGTTTTACCTGTGCTGTGATCAAGGTGTGTCATAGGTGTGGGAGAGTTACCTGTTTGAGGAGGTGAGGTTTAGGGAGTGGAGAGGGAGGGAGAACAAGAAAGTTGGGAGGGGTGGGGAGGAGAAGATGGGATGGTGGTGGAGAGGGTGGGGGTTTGAGGCCAGTGGGGGTTGATGAGGGGGGAGGTTGGGTGTGAATTTGGGGAGAAAGGGGAGGGGGTGTAGGTGGGGTGAAAAAAAGGGGGTGTGCAGGTGGGGTGGGGGGGGAGGGTAGAAGGGGTGTTGAAGGATATTGCTATTGTCTGTCATGTTTGTACTCAGGGTTACCTATCAGAATAATGATCAGGTGGAGGAGGGAGGGAGGGAGGGAGGGAGAGAGGGGAGCAGAGGGAGGGAAGGAGAGAGGTAGAGATTGAGAGAAGGGGAGGAGAGAAATAGGGAGAATGTAGGGAGGTGGGGATGAGTCCACGCCTTTAACCTAGTGACCCAAAGTGTTCGATTAGTGCCAATGATAACTAATATAACTCCTCTATCACACAAGGGAACTACACTATGAATTTTGAATTGAATTGGAACAGTTTATTTAGCGTTAAAAACACAGATACAGAGTGGATAATAATAACAATATTAACATGGCTGAGCCAGTTGAGAACCTGAGCTATTCTTAATGGCACCTCATATATACTGTACATTTATCTGAAGGAAGTATTATGTAACATTTAGTATCATCTGGAATAGGTCAATAGCATGGTAGTAATAACGACACGTTACCACGGTTATCACTTCAATATTTATTTATTTTATTATTTATCATTTTATTTTATTTTTTTTTTATTTACTTTTTTTTATACATACATATACACATACCTACATATATATATATATATATATATATATATATATATATATATATATATATATATATATATATATATATATATACATACATACATATATACTGTATACATATACTGCTATTTATCGCCTCCGTTACTTAAGACTATAATATGTCACTACTGTATTATGTATCACCTCTTACATAACAAAACTCTATTATGTCACTACTGTATTATGTATCACCTCTATTACATAACAGAACCCTATTATGTCACTACTGTATTATGTATCCTTCATTACATGGATTAAAGCTCTTAGGTCGCCTCTAGTCACCTCACGCCTAAAAATAATAACATTATTTTCATGACCTCTCTGTGTGTTCCTTAACCTCTAAAACCCTATTAGAACCTCTCCAGTCCTATTAGAACCTCTCCAGTCCTATTAGAACCTCTCCATAGCATTTAATAACCTCCCTATGTCCTTAAGAACCTCTCCATAACCCTAAAAACAAAACAGGTCTTAAAAATATCACCCTTTAAATTCCTCCATTGCCCTAAAAAAAAAAGACCCTTATAAGTTTCACACCCCCCCTCCAAAACCCTCCCCTTACCCCCGAAAATGCCCTTAACCATGCGGCCCTTACCCTAGTACAGTTTAGCTCACCCTTAGGGACGGCACGGGTGACAGCGAGCGACGGAAGGTCCACGTGAAGCGACCCATGAATGCCTTTATGGTGTGGGCGCAGGAGGCCAGGCGCAAGTTATCCTGTTCTCATCGCCAAGTCCACAACGCCGAGCTCTCCAAGTCTCTCGGCAGGATATGGAGGTGAGTACGGGGGTGTGAGAGGGAGTGGGCGGGGATAGGAAGGTTGTGGGTGGGGTTAGGAAGGTTGTGGGTGGGATAGGGAGGGAGTGGGTGGGATAGGGAGGTTGTGGGTGGGGTTAGGAAGGTTGTGGGTGGGATAGGGAGGGAGTGGGTGGGATAGGGAGGGAGTGGGTGGGATAGGGAGGGAGTGAGGGTGAAAGAGGAAAGGGGTGGGGGTACGAGTGAGACGTGGAGGTGTGAGAGGGAGTGAGTGGCATAGAGAGGGAGTGGGTGGCATAGAGAGGGAGTGGAGGTGAAAGGGAGTGTTTGGGAGTGGAGGTGAAAGGGCAAACTATACTTTCTAACTCGAATCCTGAAGTTTGTTGTAAATACGATGAATATTTTTCCTCCCCAGATTTAAACACATTATAATCACTACTACCTCATCAGCACCGGGGTAAATAATTAGGAGAGTCACAGGTATCCTTGGCGGGTCGTATTTAACACTGGTAAGGGTGGAGAGTGTCTGGTTAACTTAACTTAATGGTGTGTTGTTAAAATGACCCGTTAACTTTGGTGAATATGATGTTAATGTTATTTTGGGGGTTTATTAGTTGACTTGGACAGACCTGTGGGTTCTTATTGGTACATACACATACATAATGGTGGCCCCTTGTGTAACGAGGATGGCCGGCCACCTAGGCGTGAATTTGTTTGAGCTGTAGAAGCTGTCGCCAACACAACAACCACACCCTGAGTTAACGAGTTACATGACCCAGTGTCAAGGAATAGTCCTAGAAGACCGGACAACTCGTCAACTGCACTGGCTAACCATTACCCCGGAATATGATCCGCAAATCGATTAACATCCAGGTCCCCAATTACTGCTGGGTAGACAGAGGCAAATGACGTAAAGAAACTTGCCCACAATCTCACCCTGCCCGGGGATCGAACCCGGGTCCGCTCGATTGCAAGGCGAGCATGCTGACCATTACATACATACATACATACATACATACAGTACACAAACACACAAACATACAAATAGATCCACCTTCATAACCCACACACACACCTGACCTACATATTCCCCCCACACACGCAAACAAACATGCAACAAACACACACACACACACACACACGACCTACAAATCTCCCCCCACACACACACGAGGTATTTCCTGCTCATAAGACCATAAAATCCTGGAGAAGTAGAGGTAGAAGTAGACCCTCAAGTAGTGGCACTTTACCCCAGCGCTGGCCGGAAGCTCTTGGTATCTGCTGCGCCTTAATACCTCACCATAAAACGCTATTACACCCAGACACAGGGGCATACAGACACTCCCTTACCCTCCTGACTAAAGGCCTTGAGGGGTACGTTCCTTCTTGGCTGTGTAATAACATGTCGATTCAGCGGTACCCGGGGCACTAAATTTAACAAGTGCCACTGAATTTATGGCACCAATCGTTGCCCCGCCGCTCTTAGATGGTCAGCTCCCAAGATGCCATGTCGGGCCAGAGGAATTCCGGATTATTTTCATGTCAGTAATTCTATTTTTCCTACTTTAAACTAATCCTTTTGTCTCGGGATTACAATTATTTTAGGGATTTATGAGTTGACGAGTTTGTTTGGGTTTAAAGAATCCTGTTAATATGGTGGGTAGATGTTTTTCTTAAGGTATATAGACAGACGACAGGTCACTTGGCAAAAATGCACTCCCAGCCAGGGTGCGTCGTGGCCAGTCGAGGTCGCTTACACCACCAACACCAGGACCAGTTTACCCGCCTCACCGTCCTCTACTGCCACAAGCGCTATTACAACATCCATGTAAATACAACGTCATCGTAAAAGCTATGATTTGAATCCTTTTGGCAATGGAAATAATTTGAAATATATCCACATGAAAGAATTTGAAATATAAGCGATGAATATTGTTTTTCTTGGGGGGGTGGGGGGTAATTTGCGGTAATATAAGCGAGTTATCTCCTCTGATTTTAATACTACACATTCAATATTTCCCCAATATCAACATAAGCAAATAATTTTATCTAATTTCAGTAAATACATCCCCCCCTAAAAAAAATCTACCTACATCAACATAAGCGAGGAATTTAAAATAACTACAATTTAAAATCACTACAGTATTATATAATTGTTTTTTCCTTCTTAAAGTCCCGTAAAATCCAGAGCCATCAACACAACACCGGCATAAACTCCCTCTCTCCTCCACGGCATCACCCCCACGTAACTAGACCCCAGAAGAAACGTATGGACGGATGCCGACATGTGACTCCCAAGTTAGGCGCGCTTTTCCCCCCCTCTCTCTCTCCCTACCCAAAACTTCCCGCCAATTTATGAGGTACTAATTTCTGGCGCGCTTTTCATGTTTACCGGCACTAAACCATAACGCGGGAAGGTCAATCAGCTGGGGAACAGATTTTTCACTCAAGTACGATAATTTCTCCTATTATTTCTCTATTTTCCGGGTAAATAAAAACTTATCTAATTATCACAGTCTTAATATACTTCTTACGTCATCTTATATCAGTTTTTAGTATCATAGATGTTTTTGAATCATTAGTTATAGAAAAAAATAGAATATATGAAATATTTTGAGAAGTAATGGCGGGATAGTTGCTATATGTCACCAATTCTCGCCAGGGAGGGAAAATTATTCAAGAGTTTGGCCTCAATTTTGGTGTAAACAATTCAGGGAGGGTGATTATGGCAGAGGTTATAAACAAAATGACTCAAGGTGTTTGTTCCTAGTGACGCAAAGTTCCCATGGGTTTTCAAAAGGTTTTATTGGGTAAATTAAAATTCTGAAAAGGTTTTATTTAATTCACGTAAATTTAGTTTTCCAAGGATTTTACTGATGATAATTTTTACTGATATTAGAATTTAATTGGATGAAGAAATGAAGATAAATTTAGTGTTTATAAAGCAGTAGACACCAAGCATGGGTAGTATTTACATCACACATTAACTAAAAATTTTAAATTCTACATAATTTTAAGTATTTTTTTCAATAATAAAATAAAATACCCAATAATAAAATAAAATACCCCAATAATAAAATAAAATACCCAATAATAAAATAAAATACCCCAATAATAAAATAAAATACCCAATAATAAAATAAAATACCCCAATAATAAAATAAAATACCCAATAATAAAATAAAATACCCCAATAATAAAATAAAATACCCCAATAATAAAATAAAATACCCCAATAATAAAATAAAATACCCCAATAATAAAATCACAATTATATTATTTTATTACACATCATTTTCGTTATTGTTGACTATAAGTGAGTCCCCTACCCACTTAAATTCATGCACTTAACACTTAAATACTTTACTGTAAGAATAGTGTGTTTATAAGTGTGGCTGGTGTGACTCTGGTCTTGTCTCCCGTGTTATTATTATTATTACAGGGTATTATTATCATCATTATTATTATTATTATTATTATTATTATTATTATTATTATTATTATTACCACACAATCTTTTGTTTACCTCGTGACGTCATCAGTTGTGACGTCATCATTACCCATCGCGTACCCAGGCACACTCACAAAACACAATAAAACCCCACAAAACCCAAGACAAAACCGCGTGACCCAGATCATGAGGGGGAGGGGGGGGGAGGAGGAGGGGTGGGAGAAAGTAGGAGGAAGGAGGGGAGAGGAAGGGAGAAGAGGAAAGGATAGTGAGAAGAGAAGGGGAGGAAGGGAGAGGAGAGGAAGGGGTGGAATAGGTCAGTGGTATCCATTACAGTTGTGGCAGGTGCAGTTGATTAAGAGGAGGAGGAAAGAGGAGGAGGAGGAAAGAGGAGGAGGAGGAGAGGGGGAGGAAAAGGAAGGAAGAAATAGAAGAGAAGAGGAAGGAGGAGGAGATAGAAGAGAAAAGAGGGGAAGAGAGAAAAGGGGAGAAGGGAGGAGAAAATGGCAAGGATGGAAGAGACAGAAGATAGAAGAGGAAGAGGAAAGGTAAGAAGAGGAGGAGAGGAAATTGAAGAAAATAGACATAAGAGAGAAAGGGAAATAAAATTGTCAACACAGAGGAAAAAAGTCAATGGTGTGTGGTTCGTCCGTCTGACACTAGGGTGTTGGCTAAGGGTGTAACTATGTGTTACTAAGGGGTGTAACTATGGGGGTGTTACTAAGGGAATAATGAGTGTAACTACAGGGGTGTGGTGGTATGTACTAGGGGAGCTACTGAGGGGGTGTTACTAAGGGGTGTTACTATGTGTTACTAAGGTAACTATGGGGTTACTAAGGGTTACTGAGGGGTAGTTACTAAGGGGTGTAACTGAGTGTTACAAGGGGTGTAACTATGGGGCAAAAGCATTAAGGGGTACTTGGCAAAGTTACTAAGGGGTGTAAATATAAGTAACTATGTAAGTGTTACTAAGGGGTGTTACTATGTTACTAAGGGGTGTAACTACAGGGGGTGTAACTATGGGGTGATACAGAGTGGATACTAGGGGTGTAAATAGTGTTAACTATAAGGTTACTAAGGGTATTACTAGGGGTAAAGAGGGGTAATACTAGGGGGTATTACTAAGGGGTAGGGTATTAGGGGGTATAGGGTATTACTAGGGGGTATGGGGGTATTACTAGGGGTATGGGGGGTAAATACTGAAAGGGTAGGGTACATTAGGGGGTATAGGGTACTAGGGGGGTAGTACTAGGGGGTATGGGGGTATTACTAGGGTGGGGGGTAACACTAGGGGTATGAAAATACTAGGGGGTATGGGGGCATTACTAGGGGGCATAGGGTAATACTAGGGGTATGGGGCATTACTAGGGGTATGGGGTAACACTAGGGGTATAGGGTATTACTAAGGGGTATTGGATGTAGGGGCATAGGCACACTAGGGGGCATAGAATACTAGGGCACAAACAATGAAAGGTAGGGATTACTAGGCACATAGGCAGGGCACACTAGGGGTGTAGGGTATACACAGGGGGTATGGGAAAATACTAGGGGTTATGGGGGGTATTACTAG